CCAACTGGCTTGAGAATACTTCCCTTTGTTACATTTCCAACATATGAATGAAAATGAATGGAGGGGGAAAAATCATTAAGCATTTACTATGTACCAGATACTGCACTAGAGGCTGGTTACACAAAAATTAAAAGAGACAGTCTTTGACTTGGTCAAGGAGCTTACATTCTAGTAGGGGAAGACAACAGATAAGGGGTGACTAGGAAATGGAGTTTTGTTCTGGGGAAGTACAAACATATAAATGACCTGGGTATTTCACTGGATGACTGGATGGGCTGTGAAGATGAAGTATGGTAGAAATAATGGACAAAATATGCTAGTTTGTACATACTCATTGAAACAATCAATAGTATAAAGCCCTGGGGTGGGAGCTTGAAAAATGAGTATATTAACTTTCCCAGGGACTGGGGCATAGTTTCTGAAAGACATCACGTATGGAAATCTAAGTCTCAGGTCTAGCATAGGGATAGGGGAGGCAGTAGGGGTGGGGAAAAGTAGGCCCAGCAACAGCAGGCAGATGATGAGATAGACTGGGTGGATGACTGGATGGAATATAAAAAGCTCTGGCTTGTGTCTTACTACCAGTGCAATTTGAGTCTGATCCTATTCTTTCCATAGGCATTGTATGTAATTGTGGGAGATTGTATCCCAAACTTTTTTTTTGAGGAGGGGGTGGAATGTTTTAAACAAATTTTTCTTACTATACCAGCTTATTTTTACTAAAAGCTAATTAAGTCTACTGACTGTTAATGGGAAACACACTGGCAGAGGCTCAGGAGCTACAGTATTAGAATTAGCCTCTCATAGCATTAGCCTAGAACCTGAGAATAGAAGGTACTCCTCTGTGATCTAATGTGCCAGTGTGAATGTGAGCTAGTAGCAGAATTCCTAGAGAAGGTGTTATATTTTGATGGACCATGATTTCATCTGCTCAGGATCTTCCTCCAGTAGTTTAGATCCCAATTCCTAAACTTTTATGAATTTTGTTCATACCTTTTAATAAATTATTCGGAGATAATCATTCAATATATTGGGGACATTCCTCTTGTTCTTTTATCATTTGTTTATTTATTTGTTAATGTATTAATTTATTTCTCTATTTATTCTTTCACCTATCTGTTTATTTATTGTGGCCTGATACTCTGTTCTAGTTTTATTAATCTTTCATAGCTTCAAGTGCAGCATTTTGACTTGTCCATCTTCACTTCCACTGTCGGATGTCATGTATCGTCGGTGATGTCTTTCTGTTTTAACAAAGGAATAATCCAAAGGTTCTCATTTATTGATTCACCACTTTCCTTGGGGAGAAAGTGCCAGAATACTGAATGATCTAAATATGATATAACAAACGAAAAATGGACAAAGGTACACACAGTAGGACAGAACAAATTAGCTTCGATACCTCTGAAAGATTAGGGGGAGGGGGATTGTTGCATATCAAGCTTGGGTGGGAAATACTTATAGATATCCAAAAGAGTCAGATCATATTAGAAGGGAATAGAGTTAGATGGAGTGCAGAAGAGAATAGTAAGCAACTATAGGGGCTATTTTGGGATTCCAGTTTAGTGTTTACCCATAGAATGCCTCATTGGAGCATCCTTCCTTATTAGAACTCCTGAGTATCCCTACCCTCTATAATGCTGTAGTTAACAAAGGACAGTAATTATGCTTCAGGAAACCCAAATTTTACAAACTTTTAAAATGTATTAATTCTAACACATTTCAGCAGGCTCCTTCCATTGATCCTATGGACTTTTATGACAAGATACTAAAGGTAGGGAGAAAATTTCAGGCATTAACAACACTGAAAAAATGTGAGAACATTAATAGCTAACAATCTGTATGCCTACTCTCCAATCCATGTAGACCCTTTATGGTAGTCATCCATGCACAAGTTAAAGGCATAGATATTAGTAGGAAACAAGAAAGCTTTCAAAATAAATATTCCCCAGTGGACCACATGTACAGTAGAGATTAGAAGATCCTATTGTTTGTCAACATTTGATTCAGTATTTGATTTAATAGAACAAAATACATTCTTATAGGTTCTTTTACAATAAGGTATCTACTTTATTGTAATACATCAATGATTTATAACGTTTAAAGATTCTCATAACAAACATAAGGTGAGGTATAAAACTGGGAGATGTAAGCTCGCCAAATATATTATCTAATGCAATTGAGAAGAATTAGCATGGTTGAAGAGCGATTCCTTGTAAATGGTGAGACTGTCCAGATACTCACATTTGTGGAGAACTTTGTATGGATTGCATTAAACCCCACAATGGTGCAGGTCCTCTTGGAAGAGACACAGAATGAGTTGAATGAGTTTGGTCTCTCCAAAGGAAAGACTGGAAGAATATTGCTTAGATTTTAACTATTTTGAATGAACATCCTTAATAGTTTGTCTATGAGTATATGTACATGCATATGTAGATACATATATTTATATATGACAAACTCAGTTGACTATGAACTGACTGAAGCTGATCTGGCCTCTGTTTCCTGGGAGTACTCAGTCCCAGCCTCTGATTATTTTGTAAATCTCCCAAACTCTTACCTCTAGAGATCCCCAAGCTTTCTCTATGGACTTTCACTTGTTATGCAAAACAATTTACTTAGTGAAATAGTGAGAAGCTCCTGAACCCTCCAACCTGCAGCCTGCCATTCCCTCTCCCTTAGTACACTATATATATAAAATTCCTGTTCCCAACCCCCTTCTCAGGTACCCCAGTACTTGCTGTGTGGCACCCTCAAGCTACAACTCACTTTGCGCTGATTAAAGACCTCCATTTTGCTATATTGGCTGTTTTCTCTCTAATTCAGGCTGATAGATGGATATGTATATGTGTGTATATGCATATGATTTTGGCTTATCAATACACTCACATCATTTTAAACATACTTTACTTTCTGGTTCTAGTGGAACTTGCATTTGCAGGAACATTGAGGCAGTGTTACCATAAGCAAATTATAACTCAAAAGCAAGATAATAATTTAGATAAACCCTTGTATTTTGGAATACAGATAGATGCTCTTCTTCCAAACCCAACTGTTTTTCTACACAGGTCGTATTCCCTGACTAATTATTAAACTGCACTTTGCCTTTCAGATGCAGCTGGATGTGATGTTTATACAGATTCAATTTAGAACAAAATCCTTTGGTCCTCTTGCTTTGTGTGGCATAACTCTGTGGTGACGGCAGATGATGGGGCACGGTTTTAATGACGCTTACCATTTGAAAGGGTTTCAAGTTCTATTTCAGGTCCATTTCAAGCAATAGATTCTGCTGAAACTAAACATTGAGCAGGGACTAATGCCCGAAACAGCTAAAAACTATGGGAATATTAGCATCTCAGAATTCCATTCATAGTTTTACTGCAAAGGATAAACATTTGTTAGCTCAGTAAGACTTTTTAATCTTAATTGTAAATATTAATATTCCAAAGTACTGATTAACTTGAGGCTGGGGGTGTGACATAAAAGTTAGGTGAAATTTGAAATAGAGCAAAAACCCAATTGCTAATGACAAGTCCTGAAGTAGTCTTGTAGTCCTGGCTTGTTCAGATCAAAATTTTCCATTTTGAAATTTTTGCTGCATTTCAATTGCAGTTTTTCTTTTTCTCCAGGAAATCCTGCTTAGCACTAAGTAGAGAATGAGTTAGAGACATTGCTGAGACATTGGCCACCATTTTTTTGTTTAATTTCTGTCAAATTAGATTGTAGTTATAGCAGAGATTAACCTGCCTCCAAGATTCCTTGCAACAAGAGGAAATCAGCTGGTGTATGTCTGCCCAATGCTTAAAAGTAGCAGAAATGCTAACTTCAGAATTCCCTACCCCAAAGAATAGACAATGACAATTGACATTTATGGATCATTTCAAGTTTTACAAAGTACTTTCCTCACTACAAACCTGAGGGATAGGTAGCTCAAGCAGTATCATCACAAGCTTTAAAATGAAGTGATTGAGGTGAAGATTTGCCAGTGTCACACATCTAAATAAATGCTAGCTTTCTTGACTCCAGTTGGAGTTTTCTTAGCAAAGATACTGATGTGGTTTGCCATTTCCTTCTCCAACTCATTTTACAGATGAGGAAACTGAAGCAAACAGGGTTCAGTGACTTGTTCAGGGTCACATAGCTAATAAGTGCCTGAGGCTGGATTTGAACTTGGGTCTTTCTGACTCCAGGCCCAACACCCTATTTACTGCACCACCTAACTACCCACATATATATATATATATATATATATATATATATATATATATATATATATATATATATATATATGTGAAAGTATATATAAAAACTCTACAAATTAATTCATAGTAATTTTAGGGGGATCAGGAAAGAAAGAAGTAAATCTTGGAAATCCAAAGGGATATTAGGGAAGAATGAAGGATTCAATCAATTTTTAGTATTTCTACAAAGTTCCAAAACTTTATACAGCAGAGAACTAAAACAAATGGCAGAAAGGTAAAAAGAGAAGAATTTTGAAAATAGAAGAAAGAGCTTCCTAATAATCGGGTCGATACAAAAATGGAAAAGACTGTTTCAGTTGGTAATTTCTTTCTGGGGGAAATATTAAAGCAGAGATGTTGGACAAGGGATTCATTCCACTAGCTGTAAGATTCAATTTTTCTCTAGAAAGTTTTCTAGGAGGATCTGATATTGTTTCTCAAAATTATGAAATGAAATGCTTTCTGGATGACTTGATAAGCATGTGGGACAGGTAGCTTGGCCGAAAAAGGCAGGCCATTCATCAAAGGATGAACCTATTAAGGCCTTGCTGAGCAGGCAGGTAATTACCTGTAAGTCTTGTGTTCATGGGTTTTACTTGTCTTTGTATCAGGTGGCTTCAGAGAAATGTGGGGAGGGAATTTGTTCTGCCTGGACCTCTCTTAGGTGGCCCAGAGGGCAAAGAGGAGCTTTGTCCTGGAGCTCTCCAAAAAGCTCATGGGATTTTACTCTGTGAATTTACATCTCTAAGGCAAACAACCTCTCGACCTGGTGTCTGGCAGGAAGCTGCCTGTGCACACATTTCTCTGAGTGTACCTACCTCTCTGGGAACCTGGGAATTTTAATATTTTATTTGAACGTGGTTTGAAGGAAAATGCTACGAGGAAGATCATTGTCTGTGACCTCCCTGAGTGGGCTTCCTTTGTGGGACGTGCAAGAACTTCCAATAGAGGATTTGCTGTTCTTTGAAGTTGCCTGGGAAGTGACCAATAAAGGTTTGTAGTTCTTTTTTTTTTTTAAACCACTTACTTTTTTGGAAACAGATTAGAAATGATCATAACAAGAATTAATTTATTGGTGGGCTGTCAATAAAATATTCCAAAGATCTGACATTTTGTAGCAAATTTAGTTATTTTGGTAGGTAATGAAAATTTAAGTAAGTGATTAAATTTAAGTGGGGAAGAATTGAGCATCTTGGGACTAATTTAGGAGTATGTACATTTCAAGTAGGTACAGAAGCCAAGTGATTATAAGCAGAAAATGGAAATACCTAAAGTTTTGGGGATGCATCTGTGTATTTATTCTCCCCCTCCCAGAGGATTTCTTAGCCAGAAGAATAACTGAATGGCTTAACAGAGAGATTGCATCTAATCAGATCAAATTAGAATCTTGATCACTCCATTATTATTATTTATTTTTATTGTTAATTATCAATTTGTGAATTATTAAATATATTTCCTGATCATTTAAGATAAAAACCTGTTGAAGTAGGAAGAGCTATGTATTTAAATTTAAAAGATGGGCATTCCAAAACCAGCTTTACTCCTGTGTGACCTACCTGTGTAACCATGAACAAGTCATTTAGCCAGTCAGGCCTCTGTTTTGTCTTCTGTAAAATGAGAGGATTGGACTTGATATTCTCTAAGGTTCATTTCAGCTCCAAATTCTATTATCCTAATGAAAGTGGCAGCTAAACACTCATTCACTCTGGTCTACATAGGAAAATGTTGCTACTTACATGAAGACCATTAAAAGAAAAAAATAGGAAATAGGTATATTAACGGAGTGATCTACTAATTGTTACTAATACTAGTTTTCTTCTGGATTCCTAGAAAATGTGATTTATAATTTATAATGATTTTGTATTATAGAGATATCATAAACGATTACTAAATTAGTGGCTCCCTTAAGAAATGTTATAAAAAGACAATGAGAGAATATTGACAACAATATTAACAGTAAAATTTCAGTTCATTTCTTGATCATATTTAACGAATGTGTAGTTGAGGAAGATGTGTCTTCTACAAAATTTTGGAGACTGTTCTAAATCATTGATAGATAAATGGCAGTCAGAATCTGAGTAATTTGAAGATTTTTGCATGGTTGAAGATAATAGTAAATCACAACATTTCTATGCTCCCTTCCAGTCGTAAGTTCCATGATTTTATGGTACGATGGCAAGCAATAACAATTACTACCAGATATAAATTTAAGTCCTATAGTCTTATAGTGTCTATTTAGGATTTTCATCTTCAAACTGGCTTATAAATATTAATCCATCAAGGTTCCCATCAAAAATATAAATTTATAAATTAGTAAGTTCTACTTAATAGAAAGTAATGAAATCCTCTTAATAGCATACATTGTAATTCTCTAATGCATAGGGAGGTGGATCTATGGTTGGCAGAGTTGTGGAAAACTACAGATCTTTGCATTATAAGTTTTGTAATATCCATTTAAATGCTAATTGCTCACATTTGAGAGGAAGCATGGCATGATGGATAGAAAGTCAACCTTGGAGTCGGGAAGATGATTCCTTTGACACATAAGAAAGACATTTAAAATTTTAGTGTCATAGGCAACTCTTTAAAACTATTTTGGTCACTAATGAGATGCTGATGATCATGGCACAGGATGTTTTCACAGATCTGAGGGGAAAAAAAGATATTAACTTAGGACTATGTTGTGCTTTTAGGATTCTAAAGTGCCTTCTTTGAAACCTCATGGTGCAAATAGTGCAAATAAATGTTATTTTCTCAATTTTAAAGAGGAGGAAACTGAAGTTCAGAGAGATTGAGTGACTTGATTACTGTCATACAAATAATGAAAGACAGGAATTGGACCTAGGCCTCTCCTGAGTTCAAATCCCAACTTTTCTTCCACAACACCATGCAGGTTCTAACTCAGAGATACTTCAACACTTTCCGTCCAAAGTTCATGTTTTCACAGTCAATCTGTAGGGTACATCAATTCCAGGCCCATGCAGTGTGTGTGTGTGTGTTGGGAGTGGAAGGGGAGGGGAATGTTGCTGGCATTGGGCAAGAGCTCAGGGAGGTGGGGAAGAAGGAGGTGGCTCTGCCAGCTGAAATCAAAAGAAGGAGGTGATTTTATTTATTTTTTTTATTTTTTGCATCAGCAATCAGTCCATAAGTAACTCCCTCATCTTTCTTCCAACCCCCATTATTACCCAGGCTAAACCAATTCTGCCAACCATATCCCTCCATACAGATAGTATATTACTTTTCGGAGATATCAGGTCAGACAATCATTTAAGAAATGATTTTTATGCATGTATTATGTGCCAGGCACTGTGCTAAGCACTGGGGATACAAAGAAAGGCAAAAGAATAATTCCTGCCCCTAAGGAGCTCACATGCTAATGGATGAGACAGCAGTATAACGACTGTGTACCAACAAGATCTACCTTGCAGGCATGGTAGACAGTTAACAAAAAGACTCAGAGTCAGAATCAGAAAATGGAGTGTTTATGGGCTGGCAAAAATAAATGTAGCTAGATTCTTGAGTTTGTAGAATAAAAGGGAAAAAAAACTAGGAAGAAAAGAAGGGGTCAGCTTGTGAAGGGTTTTAAATGCCAACCAGAGAATTTTATATTTGATCCTGGAGGCAACAGGGACCCCCTTGAATTTAACAGGGCCAGGATTAGGGTGATCTCCATCCCTAGGACAAATTTCTCAACCTAAGCTTCAACAATGGTCTTTCCCTAGTTACTGCTCTGACAAATTCCTTCCTTTATAGTGTATATGTGATCAACAGCAAGCTTTTCAGGCTTTGAGCCACACTACAGATGATTTTGGGAAGTGAAAGGCATTTAGTCATTATGAAATCTTATTATTATTTACTAGTTGGGAAGATCAGGATCGCCCCATTAACACATCACCTCTATTGGATGGATCCATTCATAAGATTCTATGTTTTGTTTTGGAGTTAGCTGGAAAAAATGGCCCTATAGTTTGGGGAAATTGATATTATGCTTATGGTGATTGTTTTCCATAATTCCAACTATTCTTTCCATCACATATGGCCATAGTAGAGGTGAGAAAGTCATGACTATAGCCCCTGAGAGCATTTGTTGTAAGGGTTGTTTATCATACTTTCTTTTTTCAAACATAAAGAGGCACTCTCCTTCCTAATAATTTCCAGGTACATGGGGGTATGTGTATGTGGGGAAGCCAATGTAAAGTATTATTCTTATAGCAAACCAGACAAGGAACAAATCCTCATGATTACTAAGGGAATTAACTTGATAGAGATTTGTTTAATTGAATCCTAAATGATGAGTTCATTTGAATTAGAAAGAATGAAATAGTAAACTTAAAATTAATGAAACTGTTATAAACTTTTTTAAACAGTTGGTGGTATCTATACTGTAATCCAGACCAAGGCAAAAACAACTGCGGATGAATGGGGAGAAAATTATTGTCTGATTGGTCCATATTTTGAGCACAATATGAAGACCCAAGTGGAAGAGTGTGAGCCTCCAAACCCTGCAATTAAAAAAGCAGTGGATGCAATGAATTTGCATGGGTGTCAGGTACTGTGCTTCCCTTAGAAACTAAAAAAGAACAAAGAAAACATCCAGTTGATTTAGTATTATTTTGAGGTCAGTTGGGACATGAAGTCCCAACAGCTAAAGCCCTGTTACCTTTTCAATATTAAATTAGTAAAGATAATTTAGTAAAAACAATTTTTAAGGAAGTGAGTAAAGTTACATCCCCTATTGTAGAAGGAGCAATAAACTAATATAAGTTAGGTTAATTTTTTCCTAAAAGGTATTGAAACTATCCTTCAGATTAACTGTCTTGGACACTTAAGATCTCAGGCTGTTGATATCACTTCTGGTTGTTTGAGTACAAAATAACCACGAGGAGTTCTGAGTACTTGGCTGGTGAAAGACTATGGACAACTCAAGCAAGAGAGCTCAGCTTAGCTGAATCACCTTGAGATGTCCTCTGTGCCCTCCTTGTTGCATATCTTTCTCCCACTCTGGCTAGGTAAATGTCCTTTTGTTAGCCGTTGAATGAATTGAGTGTCTCATTTTGTTTCAGTATCAGACCTGAACTACCACAGAACTGGCCTGACACAGGCCCAGCCAGAACACCTATGGAAGTCTACTTAATCATATTAATGAGCTACCTTTTTTCACCTCCCCACAATGAAATTGCAATAGGTAGAAGACTGAACTGAGACTCAATTTTTGTATTACATCATTTTTAAAACTCCTACTAAACTTATGCTTCAGAATAGTCCTTTGGGAAAGGTAGTATTGCTCATTTTAAAAATATGATTTATAATAATAGAAGTCTGAAAGGTATTTTTCTTCATGCTCTTTATTGATTTATGAGCATATCATCAGAAGTGTCAGGAACAAAACATTTCCTGGGTACAAAGCATTCTAGGCAGTCTAGCTGAGGATCTAGGACAAATATTGCCATTTATATTCTTTCGTACAAAGAAGCAAATGTGAAATGCCAGTATAGACAATGTGCTATAGAATTTCAGAGACAGGAGAGACCATGTGGCCTATGGGGGTAGATGGTGGCCATGTGAAAGCTAGAGGAGGAATAAGGGAGAAAGGGTCTGAAAGACTCTAACAGAGGAGATGAGACTTAAACAGAATCTGGGGGAAAAAGTAGGATTTAAATAAGTCAGAGTAGAAGTGAAGTCATTGTAGATAGGTCTAACTACATATGAGTAATATGTGCTTTGGGATGCTCAGAGGAAAATGGGCATTTACCTAATTTAATGCATGGATAGAACTTGGATAATATAGATGAATGGATAATTAGCACAGCTCGTTAAGTTGTCTTTTTCAAATAAGTATTTCAATCAGGTGTAAAAAATGATCACTATAGTTTTCTATTCAACTTAGAAAATAATTTTCTACTCAACAAAAGTTATAGTCATTCACTAATGACAAATTTTTCTTATTTGCATAATGAACAGGTTCATTTTGGAAGATGGCTCATAGAAGGGAGCCCTTACGTGGTGCTGTTCGACATAGGATATTCTGCTTGGAATTTGGACAGATGGAAAGGAGACCTCTGGGAAGCGTGCCACATAGGAATTCCTTACCATGACCGGGAAGCTAATGATATGCTTATATTTGGGTCATTAACTGCCTGGTTCTTAAAGGAGGTACTGCTTCCAGATAGCAATATTCCAGGGGCGTGATGAAGCTGCCTTCATTTTCAGACACAGTAGATTGGTACACAAGTATGATTTCACAAGAGGTGCATGGTATAAAAGGAAGCTGGCAGTAGAGGAAAGAGTACTGGGTTTCCCGTCTCAGCTTCACCACTAACTCATGACACTACTCTGGACAAATAATTCTCTCTCTATAGCTCTCATTTATAAAATGAAGGGGTTAAATTAAATGATGTCTAAATCCCTCACTTCACTAAAATGCTATTCTTTTTAGCTGAAGCAAATTAAATGATTATGCAATTATTGGCTGACCTAAGACCTTTTCAAAGGAATCTGAGAAAGTGATTTTATCTAGTGTAAATACTAATTACTGGAACATGGCCAAAAATAGAAATACCATACCACTGTATCTCTGTTCTAATCTTTCTCCAGATTTTAAAAAGCTACAGATATGCAAACCAAATTTGTATTTTAAATCCTTTTTAAGAGCCCTACCAGCTCATTGGTATGTTTTATTTTTAAATCTCTAGGTCATTGTTTCACTGATATAAAAGTCAGCTTACACAGTCAAAGAGAAACATGTGCAAATCTGCTAGTCATCTATGTAAGTTATCAGAGAGTCAATAAGGATTAGTGAACTGAGAACTGACCTTGGAATCAGGAAGACCAGAAACCTACTTTTGTTACTACAAGGGTGAGCCTGGCCAAATCACTTGAACTTTCAGTGCCCCAAGCAACTCTCCAACACACTAAGTTAAACATGAATTGTCCATCTCCAACAATGGAAAGAGGTACCACACGAAGGAGAATGACACCAATAAAATCACAAGTCTGGAAAAAAAATGCCAGCAACAAAATATCAATGCTTTTGTCTTAAATTATCAAAAGCAAGTCTATACATGTAATATGTATATTATTTTTTATTTTTACAATATTATTTTTAATTTTTGAAAGTAGTATCAATAAGATATTTTAAAAAAATATTCATGGTACTCAGTGGTGATAATGCTGATGATATAACATACTGAAATGATCTGAGTTATGTCTTTAAGTACAAAGCTCTTATTCAATAATTTTTCTAATTTTTCATTCAAAACTATAGTAACAAATGTTTAAAATTTCAGACTTAATGCTACATAATATGTACTCAGCAATGACTCAGCAGCAAGAACAAAGAGGACACCCTGGAGTGGGGAGACTTGAGGCAGGGAGACCAAGCAGAAGGCCAGTTCAGCAATACAGATGTGAGATGCTGGTGGCCTTCACCAGGGCATTGGCTGTGTAGTAGAGAGAAGGTGAAGTATATAAGAGATATTACAGAGGCAGAAACAACAGGACTTTGCAATATATTGGATATGTGAAGTGAGTGAGAGTGAGGGGTCGAGGATGACACCAAAGTTTGTGAGTCCAAGAGACTATGAGAATAATGGTACTTACAACAGTAATAAGGAATATTGGAAGAGGGAAGGACATGGGAGAAAAGGTAATGAGTTCAGCTTTGGACGTATTGAGTTTAAGATGTCCACGGGACATCCAGTTTGAGGCATACAATTGGCTGTTGGATAGGCAAGACTGTAAGTCAGGTGAGAGGTTAGGACTGGATAAATGGACCTGAATCATCTGCAGAGATAATTGAATCCATGGGAACCGATGAGATCACCAAGAAAAATAGTATGAAGGAGAAGAGAAGAGGGCTGAGGAGAGAGCTGCAGAATGTATCAAAGGTTAACAGGCATGACCTGGATGAAAGGTCCAGCAAAGGAGAATGAAAAGAAGCAATTGTACAGGTAAGAGGCGAACTAGGAAAGAACAGTGTAATGAAAACCAAGGGAGAAGAGAGCATTAAGAAAAGGGTGGTCCACAATGTCACCAGCTGCAGAGAGGTAAAAAATGATGAGGACTGAGAAATAGTCATTAGATTTGGCAATTAAGAGAGTATTAGTAATTTTGTAGAGAAGAATTTCTGTTGAATTATGAGGCCAAAAACCAGACTGAAGAGAGTCTGGAAGAGAGTGAGAATAAAGGAATTAGAGGCACTGATTATAGCTGGCTTTCTCAAGTTTAGCCATGAAAAAGGGAGGAGAGGTATAGGGCAATAACTACAGGGAATGGTCAGAACCAGTGAGGATGTTTTTTAAGGATGGGAAAGGCATGAGTATACGTCTAGACAGTAGGGAAGCAGCCATTAGACAGCGAAATATTGAAGATTCGTTAGAAAATGGGGATGATGGGAGGGAGCATTCTGTAGAGGAAAATTCCATCAAATGGAATTAACAGCACATGTATAGGGGTTTGCCTCAGTAAGGAGAGGTACCACCTCTCCATGTGAGAACAAGGGTAAAGGAGAAGACAGAAGGGAAAATCATCTGAGTGAGGTGAGATGAGAGAGAAGATGGAACTCTAAGAAAACAGTCTCATTTTTTTTTCAGTGAAGTGTAAGGCAATGTCTTCAGTTGAGAGAGGGGTGGTGAGGGGTGCTACAAGACACTTGAGTACGGATGAAAAAATTTGGAATAGTCATTGCATTAGCTGGGATAATGCGAGGTGTGTTCAATTAGGAGGTGTAAAATGATTGCCTTGCTGAAGGACCAAGTAAGATTTTGAAACCTAAATTTGTAGTGTTCCCAGTTAGCATGGTTTTCCCAGTTCCATTAAGCAATATAAAAATAAGAATGAAGGCAACAGATGGTGAGAGCAATCCAAGGATGAAGCTTGGCAAAGCATGAGCAATGATAGGATAAAAGCATAAGGGACTCAAATGTAGAGGATAGATCAGAATTAAGCTGGTTCATTAAGGCAGTGGTTTCAAACTCAAATAGAAATGGGGTCCACTAAACTGTATATAGTGATCCCTGTAGGCACATGTTGACTTAGAAAATCACATATTAACATTATCCATGTTTGATTGTATTTTTATTTATTTTGTTAAGTATTTTTTGTTAGGTATTTGTTAAGTATTTCCCAATCATATTTTAATCTGATTGAGGCCGCATATGGCCCATGGGTGGCATGTCTGACACCTCTGCATTAAGAGGTTGAGACAATGAAGGGAAGAAACTGAAGCTTGATCATGAGATAACCCAAAAAGGAATTGAGGCATTGTAAGCCGTTATGAGGATGAAGAACTGAGTTATGGGTTACAAGGTAGAGAGAAAAAAAATGATAAAAAATTATAATTAATAAAGGAATTTTGTAGTTCATAAATATAGAAATGGAAAAAACTTATGGTTGTTAAGGTCATAATCATCTCTGTGCATGAGTGAGGTAGAGTGGAGAAGCATACTATACTGGTCATGTGAAATGAATAGATTGAGGAAGTGGGACTTTAGGGTGTTTGAGGGAGAATCAATATGCATGCTGAAGTATGTAGTGTGAAGGCAGGATTTGGAGTAGAGAGAAAGAACCCATTGAGGAAAGCTGGGGTGTATCCTGGGAATCAATAGATAATACCAGAATCTTGACTGGGTCATAAATTTGGATTGAATGAACCTCAAGGGGGAGAGATTGCTGAGATGTAGTTATAGTAGTCAATATAAGTGTACTGACTCCAAGTGTAGTAACTGTAAGCGCTAATGAGGAGCGAGAAGTTTTCTGACTCCCTCACCACAACCAGTGAATCTGGAGTATGAGTGAAAGTGAAACTGGTATTGGAAAGGGTGAGAGCCAGGTGAGTCTGAGGCTGAGTTTTATCAATGGCTGATTTCCTCTGCAACCTTAAACAATCAATCAATCAGCAAGCATGAACTGAGCACCTACTATGAGCAAGGCACTGTGCTAGGAGCTGAAGAATTCGAAAAAATCTTCAGTTAGAACTCATCCTTCCTTGAAAATCATCAGTTAATTTAATGAGTATGGAGAAAGCCCAACATCAAAGACTTAACACAGGAAACTAACTCTCTGAATTTAATAATGTAGCTTTAGATAATCTTGTCACTAGTAAGTCAAGGTCACCTTGTGGTTTGGGGAAGTAAAAAGGGCCTTTCCCTTTTTATTTCCTTTTCTGAAGGAATCTTTTTTTTTTTTTACTACTATTTACTACTACTCAATCATGTCAGAAAGAGGTGGAAAGAATGTTTCACTCAGAACTATCAGACCCCTGATTCAAGTTTTGGTTTAACTACTCATTACTTCAGTGAACTGGAACTTAATCTCTATAGGTCTCCTTTTTCTGATCTGTAGAGATTTCTTACAGTCTCAAGTCTCTGATCATACATGCCAGTGAGGTAAGCAGCCCCACCACCATAAGATTTATAAAATGTTAGAGCTGAAGGGAACCTTAGAGACTTAAATCTTACTTTCTTACTTTACGAATGAGGAAACTGAAGGTCAGAAAAGATTAAGGGAATCACCCAAGTTAAAATAGGTAGCTAATTTTAGATTATTACTAGAACCCAGGACTCCTGGTTTCTAGGTCAAATGCTTTTTTCCATTTCATTATGATGTTCTTTCCAGTGTGTACTCCCATCATCTTAACTTCGGTCACTATGTGGGAAGACCAATATCTTGAAATACACCAACCAAATCATCCCCACTCCCTCCCAATACAGGTTAATATTCAACTATACTCTCCATCCAGTCTTCAGGCTTCCTGCATTATGTTGGGTGTTTTGCAATTATAGCTCTTACTTTCATCTCCCTTCACATAAGAGACAAGTCAAAACTGAGAATGAAGGATGCTCTTAGTTCCACTCTAAAAATTGAGGAAGGAGTGGAAAATGGTGAAACAGCCTGATCTAATGGAGTAAGAAGACCTAGATTTGTCACTAATTGTGTGATCTTCCTACTGTTATCACTACTAGTAAACATTTATATTGTTCACACTGTGCTGAGAGCTTTACAATTATTATCTCATTTGATCTTCACAACACCCCTGGGAGTTAGATGCTATATTATTATCCCCATTTTAGAGAAGAGGAACTGAGGCATACAGAGGTTATGTGACTTGCCTAGGGTCAGAAACCTAGCAAGATTTGAACTCAGATCTTCCTGACTCCAGACCCAGCACTCTATCCACTTCACCACCATCTAATCTCTCTGCTCTTCAATTTTATTATCTATAAAATAAAGAACAACAAATACCTATAAAACAAGATTTTGTGAATAAAATTATATAAACCTGTAGATGTGAAAATATTTGGAAATTTTAAGTGTTATTTTTTTTCTTCCTATGTCAGGTAACTGACCATGTGGATGGTAAACATGTCATTGTTCAATTTCATGAATGGCAGGCAGGAACTGGACTAATTCTTTCTCGAGCCAGGAGCCTTCCTATTGCCACAATATTTACGACTCATGCAACACTGCTTGGAAGGTACCTCTGTGCTGCGAACGCTGATTTCTACAACCACCTTGATAAGGTAAAATAATCCTCTTTCGTTCCCTCCTCCTTCTTCCCACCTCATCTTCTTTCTTTTTGATTCTTAATGATGGTCAGAATTATTGATTCTGTAGTGGATAGTGCACCGGCCTTGAAGTCAGGAGGACCTGAGTTCAAATTTGGCCTCGGACAAAATACATGACACTTACTAGCTGTGTGACCTTGGGCAAGTCACTTAATCTAACTGCCTAAAAATTAAAAAAAAACAAAAAGAATTATTGATTCTGATTTTTCAGAGGTCAGATGCAGAACTCAATCAGTGTTCATAATCATGCTCCTCATGGAAAATCAGACATCTAGTAAATGGTATGTGAAACATGGCACAATTGTAATCTTTCAAAGAAAACATCATTTGGGCCCATATGACCTTAACCATATGAAACATTTACAAGGTTTGTGGGGGAATTATGGATCTAATGTTAAGGGGTAACCTTAGCTTCTCCTACTTTTGGTAACGCAATGGGTATGATGAGACAGGTATCATCCCATCAGTGGAAATAATGATACAGAATGCTCTCAGCTTCTCACTTTTATTGACAATGCTATTATATATAATATAGATATAATACATCATATATATATATATTTATGATATATAATAATATAATGCAGTGATTGGGGCAGCTAAGTGGCACATTGATAGAGTGCTGGGCTTGGAGTCAGGAAAACTCCTCTTGCTAAGTTCAAATCTGGCCTTAGACATTTACTAGCTGTGTGACCCTGGGTGAGTCAGTTAACCCTGCTTGCTTCGGTTTCCTCATCTGTAAAAATGAGCTGGAGAAAAAAAAGCAAACCTCTCCAGTACCCCAAAATGATTTGGGGATATAGCATACACAATAGCTTGTGGAATTTGGGAGGCTTCTCTCTTTCTTCAGTCCTGATGATACTATCTTTATCCACACCCTGGGCATCAAAGAGGTTCTAGGCATCTGCCCTTCAGTATGTGCCCTATGTCAAGTAGCTGGGACTTCATAGCACGGGGTATTTACATAGTATCTACTGTTTCCTTTTAGCCCTTTAGGGGGTAAATACGGTATGTAGGTATTGGAAGGGAGGAAATACTGAAACCTGGGCCATAATTCAAGGTGGGCAAACTATATATGCCTCAGTGGCCATACCTTTATATGTACTCACTTTAGAAAATGAAGCCAACATCATTTTCTACTGTAATTCCATTTGGCATCCTTCCATTGTACTCCACCAGTAGATAGTTTGTCTTTTGCATATTTATTTGGTTCTTCAGAATAACTATGTGGTTCTAATATCAAATCTTCTGATAAATAAACTGAATAAATTATCTCTTCTCCCTGATGCATAGATATTCTCACCTGCCAAATAAAGAAGTTGTAGTAGATGAACTCCAAGGTCCCTTCCAGCTCTAACAGTCTATGATTCTGTGAAATAGAACACAGGTGTGTTTTGGGGTTAGGTAGATGGGGACATGTTCTGATGATGAGAATGGAAAGAGATATTTTCATTTCAAAGATATTCATGCAGGATAGTTCATACCAACAAAACTTAGCATTCATAAAGCAATTAGTTACTGCTTCCCTGGATAAAAAAGGTCAACATGACCCAAAGGCCAGATGATAAACATAAGGAATTCATTTAAAATATGCTCATTAAGAAATTTGATAGGCAGCAAGGTGTTCAGAGAATTTTCTAGTTGCTTCTTAGAAGGCGATTACTAACTCAAACCAGTGATCCGTGAAAAGCCTAGTGGACATATCTGACTTTTGTGTGAGACAAGATATCTGAAGGGCACAGGACATTTTTTCTTTTAAAATCAGCCATAGTAAGGGAAATAATAACAATAAATACTAATTCAAAGTATATCTTGGACCTACTTAATTGCTTTACCTTCAGAAACACTTTTCTCAATGTAGATGCAATAGAAGACATTCATATTATAATTTCACCCTTTTGGGAAAAGGAAGTAAACTTATACTTATTTATTTCACATTACTTATTTTATATTACTATTATTATTTGTCATAGAATAAAAATAGTACAATGCAAAAGATAAGAATTCCTATAATGGGCTTAAATCCTATTTTAGGTGACACATAGCAGAACATCAAGTGATATATATATATATGGAAATTAAAAGAAAAACACATTAGTGGTGCTAAATGGTTTATAAGTTGGTTTCCCTTTTAGGAACCTGAACCAGCCCCAATACCACAGTTAAGTTGAGTAGGAAGGCAAACTAAGGTTATGATAATAGATAAGCATAAGAAAAAATTCAATTTTTATATGGGTAGAAGGAGTGAATTTTATGTTATATAAGAGGTAATTGAAACTGATTAAAATTTTTTATTTGCCTCTTCCTGGGAACATTGACATCAACTCACACGTTTCATAAAAGTCTATCATCTAAGGGAGCATTGTCAGTTTATGACACACATATTTTTCCTCAACTTTTAAACATTTTTATTTAAAGTTTTGAGTTCTAAATTCTATCCCTCCTTCTCTTCCTCCCTTCCTCCTTCCCTGAGACAGTAAACAATCAGATATAGGTTTTCCATGTGCAATTATGTAAAATATTTCCATATTAGTCATTTTGTAAAAGAAGACAAGTAAAAAAATGAAAGTGAAAAATAGCATGATTCTGTCTATATTCAATTAATATCAGTTCTTTCTCTGGAGGAGGATAGTATGCTTCATCATTAGTCCTTTGGGATTGTCTTGGATCTTTGGATTGCTAAGAATAGCTAAGACTTAGCTGCTAAGTCAACCACAGTTCTTTATCAAACAATATTGTTGTTACCTTGTACAATGTTCTCCTGGTTCTTTTCACTTCACTATGCATCAATTCATTTAAGTCTTTCTAGATTTTTCTGAAATCATCCTGCTTGCAATTTTTTACTGCACAATAATATTCCATTACAATCATATACCACAGCTTGTTTAGCCATTCCCCAGTTGACGGCATCACTTTGATTTCCAATTCTTAGCCACCCCAAAAAGAGCTGCTATAAATATTTTTGTACAAATAGATCCTGTTCTCTTTTTTATGTCTTTGGGATGTAGACCTGGAAGTGGTATTGCTGGATCAAAGGGTATGCACAGTTTTATAGCCCTTTGGGCATAGTTCCAAATTGCTCTCCAGAATGGATGGATCAGTTCACAGTTTCACCAAAGAGTCAGTGCCCCAGTTTTCCCATATCCTCTTCAACATCCAACATTTTCTTTTTTTGTCATATTAGTCACTCTGATACACGTGAGGTGGTACCTCAGAGTTGTTTTAATTTGCATTTCTCTGATCAATAGTGATTTAGAGCATTTTTTAATATGACGCTTTGATTTATTTGTCCAAAAACTGCCTGTTCATATTCTTTGACTATTTATTGATTAGGAAATGACTTGTATTTTTTATAAATTTGACTCAGTTCTCTATATATGTAAGAAATGAGGCTTTTATCAGAGATACTTCACACTTGTGAATTTGCTAAGACAAAGGGAGGGCATTTCTTCACCTTTACCCCCCATCAATCTATTCATCTGTCCATCCAACCTCTCAGCCATAATGACATAGGAATATTTCTACAACAAGAAGCATCCCTACATTTCCTTTTGCTTTTATAGTACATTGATTTGAATGTACATGGGGTAAATGAATCCCTAGGTTAAAAGGTGGGGGTGGTGCTGTTTCAGAGTGAGGAGAAGTTGAAGCATCCTTAAACAAGAGTGCTCTTGATTCTGGATTCCCACTTCCGGTCAAGTCTCACGATACTTATGCCCAAACAGAGGACCCTACCTTGGGCAGTCAGTTGATGCAGTAGATAGAGCACCAGGCTTGGAGTCAGGAAGATCTGAGTTCAAATCTGGTCTCAGCCACTTGCTAGCTATGTGAACTGGGGCAAGTAACAACCCCTATTTTCCTCAGTTACTCATCTGTAAAATGGGGACACACTGGAGAAGGAAAACGGCAAACCACTCCAGTATCTTTGCCAAGAAAACCCGAAGTCCATGGGCTCATGTAAAAGTTGTTCATAACTGAACAACAGGACCAAACCTTTCTTTAGTCAGTCAAGAAACATTTATTAAGCATCTATTATGTGCATGAGTTCATGTAAGTCTTTCAGGCACTGTGCTAAGCACTATGAGGATACAAAGAAAAACAAAAAAGCAATCCCTTTACTTGAGAAGCTTATAATCTAATGGGGAAAGAATATATAAAAAGAAGCTGAAAAGTAGGGGTAGAGGGAGAACAGGTACAATTCTTCTTCAAAGGTAGTTCTGTGAATCTATGACTTCTTCATAGTGTCATAGATTCACAGAATTGGAAAGGATCTCATAGGTCAAACCTGAGCATGTATTCCCTCTACAATGTCCTAAATAAGTGATCATGCAATCTTCATCTGAAGACTGCAAGTAAAGAGGAAACCACTAGAAGAAGTTCTATACAATTCTCTTTGTCTCTCGTTCTTGGGAAATTTTTCTTGACATCAAAACTAAAGCTGCCTTTTGGCAAATTTAGGATCATAGATTAAAGCTGAAAAGGATCCAAGAAGTCATTTAATCCACCCCAGTCCCATACTCATTTTACAGATCAGGAAACTGGGTCCCAGAGAAGTAAAATAACTTACCTAGGGTCACACAACTTTTAACTCCCCAATTCCCTTGTTAAATCATGGTACATAACTGTTCCGTGGAATGTAAGCCCCAGTACAAGAGCAATAACTCATATAAACTTTATGGTTTTTTCACATCTATCCTATGACATAGGCAGTATAACTCTTATTGTCACCATTTTGCAGATTTGGAAAGTGAGCTTCAGAAAGTTTAAGTGACTTGGGGGCAGCTAAGTGGTGCAGTGGATAGAGTACCGGCCCTGAAGTCAGGAGGACCTGAGTTCAAATCCGGCCTCAGACCAAACACTTGATACTTACTAGCTGTGTGACTCTGGGAAAGTCACTTAACCCCAATTGCCTAAAACCAAAAAAAAAAAAGTGTAAGTGACTTGCCCAGGGTTAC